TTATGCATCAAATAGGTGATGTGGTTCAAGTTTTCTTATTCACACACAAATAAAATAGCCATGTTCGCAGTTACGCTGTCTCTCATGGCTAAGACAAGTCTTCTACCTAAAATCATATTCTATGAAGAATGAACTGGGTTTTCAGAGTTGCACGATTCCTTTCCTGCATTTCTTTCAAAGTTTAGGCCAATTGAATTACTTCTACCATTTTTAGGGCACATTCTTGAAGATGTGGTTGATAGAATAATTGGCGACTTCAAGGAATTCCTAGTGCTTGCTCAAGAGGCCAGTTGTTTCGTTTCAAAGTTTGATTCAGTTGCAACTAAAGCCAAACACACAACATAAATATTGAAGGATATGTTGGTCTATTCACTGAAAATCCTTTCTAAATTGAAAATGGAGCCGACTTTGTCCCATGTTGTTTGGTATTGCTCTACATTTTGGAGCCATACTGGAAATCGAAGGCGAAGGGGATTTGAGGTGGACACTGCTCTTGCCTCAAAGTCTAGAATTTGGTTCCTCGGTGCATCCTATTTCTAGATGGTCTTGTTCAGTGGCAGAGCTACGGTAACATCCTTAGGTGGGCCAAACAAGCTAGATTAAAGCTGACCTTAATTACTTTCCTATTAAGGGCCCCTCAATCTTCACTATTTGGTGCCACCCTGGGCGGGCCACGGCCGGGTTTTGCCCCAACGTAGCTCCACCCCTGGTCTTGTTGTATTTGATTTCATTCGACTTTGTAGTTAACCATCCGCAATCTCCTATGTTGTTCTTCTTGCAGATAAATAGTGTATGTGAATCGGTGGCTTTGTTACACTAAAGTGATGTATTTATAGATGGGTTGTTGTATACATGGTTGGAGTTCCTTAGACTTTATTGTCTCACCAACAACTTGTACAATTATTTTATCGCATGAGCAATCAACGTATATAAGAGCTAGCAAAGGCTTGACAACATTTGTGAACATACATGTGATTTCGTAGTCCTAACCCATACATGGGAATGAATGTTTGCATTCATAGCTATATTCTTGATGGGATCTCCGAACATACATGTGACTTCATATGTACCATATTTTGACCTGACTTTACAAGGCTATATTAGCGTTCTGGACATCAAAACCCATGTGATGGCTAAATATTCATATTTCATGTATGTTCGGAGATTAGAAAGCTAGAACTAAGAATACGGTTGTTAGAAGCGATGTGGTCGGAAGTAAGTTGGGGTTTAGATGAGTCAAGTGGCCTATGCTCAAGCAACCAACTAGCATACAATTATTTTATAGCCCAAGCAACCAACATAACATATATAAGAGCTAACAAAGTCTTCACAACATCTCTGAACATACATGTGATTCCGTAGTCTAACATATGTATAGGATTTTATACATGTTGTAGTTGTCCTTACTTTAGTAGGCTCGTGTGACGTGTGAATGCTTGAATGTTCTTATTTATATCTACATATTATTGTCCGTTCAACTTGTTTTGCTATAATTGTTTGTCTATCCTGACATGACCATTATAACTCTATGAGAGAAGTCCATATTACAGTGCCAAACCATTCCATTTGTTAAGATTCAACCTTGAAATCTCAAGGCGTCTAAGAATCCACCCTAAACAATCAAAACCGGCTAGGAATAAACCCTCCACTCCCTTGAAAACCGGTTATCGCTGAGTACACCCGGTTTTGACCTGTTGACCAACAAGTCAACATCCCAGTCAGTAGCCACACCAACCTAGTCACTTAACCCATTTTATCGAAAAACTAAAAATGTCCAGAAATTTTTGACAACCCATTTTTTGACAAATTTTAAACAAAAGTTGACAATAATACATTAAAATTTATTAGGCCAAATTGTGTGTAACTTTCCCAGAGTGATCATTACAATAGTTTTAGTTGTACATAATTTTTTCAAACTTTTCTGAACAATTTCATTTTTGGACAATATTTAACAAAAAATGTGCTGAAATTGTAATTTTAGATTATTTTTCAATATGATCCACCAAAGAGCGTGAAACTTTCTCCGAATGATCAGTATATTAGTGTTGATAATTTTTTTAAAATCTGGAAACATCCAATTTTTGACAATTTTGTCCAGAATGGAATGAAGTGGTAATTTTAGGGTATTTTTAAATTTGTTCGGAGGAATTATGTGAAACTTCCCTAGAACGATCACTATATTGGTGTTGATTTTATAGATTTGTTTCAGTTTTTTCCAGACACTTAGATTTTTTTGACAGAATTTGACCAAAAACGGTTAAGTGACTGCGGTTACATGTCTGCTAACTGGCAGGTCAATGGGTCAAAACTGGGTCTACTCAGCAAAAACCGAATTCAGGGGAGAGCGGGGTTGATTCCTAGCCAATTTTGATAGTCCAGGGTTGATTCTTAGACAGTTCTAGAGTTCATGATTGAATCTAAGACAAATGAAAGAGTTCAAGGTTGTAATATGGACTTTTCTCTAACTCCGTGGAGATCAAGCATATGGCAACATAGAAGGCAACATGTGCTATCATCAATTCCATATGCCTCCTTGCAATCATGCAGCCTATACTTCTGGTTAATATGGAAACATGTATAATTTGCTAACAATGTTGCTTTACAATGCATCAAATTGAAGCAATTCAAGTTTTCTTATTGGCACACAAATTAAACAGACATATTCACATTTATGCTTTCTCACATGGCTATGAAAAGTCTTCTCTGTAAAACCCTAAAAATGTGAAGAATGCATTGTTATTTTTTTTCTAGTGTTGCATGAGTTCCTTCCTTGTATTTTGTTTTAGAGTTCTGGATGCACAAATTATTCCCGTATGTGCTATTTTTCCAGAGTTGTGGCACTAACAGCTAAATGTTGATGACTATGATATATATCTAGCAATCCATCTAAGTAAGAGCAACATTCAATATCAAAACTGGTACCAATCGACGCCTTTTGGTGATGTGATTGGTGAATTGGCGAGTTCAAAGCATTCCTAGTGCTTGCTCAAGAGGCCAATGTGTTCCGTTTTTAATGTTTGGTTCAGTAGCAATTAAAGGCAAACACACGGCAACCAAAACACGAATGTTTTGGTCTATTCACCAAAAGTCCTTTTTTAAATTAAAACTAGAGTCGACTTTGTCCCAATCAGTTTGGTATTGCTCTACATTTCGTAGCTACAATGGGGTCTGAAGGTGAAGGAGTCGAGGTGGAGGCCACTTTTCCTTCGAACCCAAGGACTTGATTTCTTGACGCATCCTATTTCTAGACAACCTTTGTTGTGTCTGATGCCATTCGACTTCATAATTAATTTTCTTCATCTCATATGTTGTTCTTCTCCAAGATAAAGATAGCGCATGTGAGTTGGTGTTTTTTTACATCAAACATGTGTATTTGGGTTGTTGTATACATGGATGTAGTGCTTTCGACTTTATTGTCTCACCAACAATATGTACCATTTTTTCATGGTGCACGCAATATATAAGGGCTAGCAAAGGCTTGACAACATCTCCGAACATACATGTGACTTCATATGTGCCGAATTTTGATGTCACATAGGCTAGATTGGTGGTTGAAACATCAAAACATGTTACTATAAACATTTTTCTATCCACTGACACATCCAGTAAAACCAAACATGTGATAACATACAAGGCATCATGTAGTATCATCAATTCCATATGGCTCCTTGGAGTCATGTCATATATGTTTCTAGTTAATATGGTAGTGTGCAAAATTTCGTAATGATGTTGCTTTATTATGCATCAAATTGGGAATACAGTTCAAGTACACTTATTCACACACAATGCAAAGATCATGTTCACAGTTGTGCTTCCCAATGGAGATGTTGCCCTCGCGGC